TGTATATGGTCCAAGCATTTTACTGATAATATGAATATACGTATCATAAAGGAATATTAATACGTAATAAATTTATTTATAAATTACGGGATTATGTATTTCTAAATTAAAAAAAAAATTTTGTCATCGTATTTTGTAGGTAGAAACGCTGTGGCGCGATCAGATTTACGCGATCCATAAATTACAACTACAAGAGGTAATTAAACCAAGATGGCGACATAGTGGTGGTGGTTTGAACGCCTCGAAAATATATTTCAGCCAGTTAACTAGAAGCATGGTGGATGAATTGTATGAAAAATTTAAGTTGGACTTTGAGCTTTTCGATTATTCGCCCGATGATTATTACCGATACGCGACAGCCAATTAATATTAATCCGGAAGAATAGAACCATTGACGAATGCTATCTGTAAATACAGCTTATATACACATAGGTATTAATTCATGCGGAGCACTGTATGTAAATGGCAATGATTGATCTGTATATGTATACATATGTATGTATAGTATGTACAGCGTGTTGTTAAAACCGACTTGTTATCAAGCGCGTTAATTTTTCGTAACCGATCGTTAATTAATGCGAGCGGAGCGAAAAAGGAAGTTTCAACTTTAGGACAGATCGTTCTGATATATTGCAACGAAGTAGGTCAATCGATTTCCTAGGCAAAAGTTCGTCGCGTGGCGTAACGTGATTTAAACTCCATCAATTAGAATCACCCGTGCGTGTATCGACCTCTCGACGTTCCGTCTCTTTTCACTTTTCTTCTCGGAATCTTTACTCAGCTTAGCGTTACAAACGAAAACTGTACATGTACACACGATACATGAATCGATGAAAAATTCAGAATAGAATCTATTAACGTTGAAAGCTACGTAAATGAGCAATAAACTAACGCTGAGTGCCTTTCTTGTTCGACATCGATTAGTTTAAGTGGCCTCTATGAGAGTCAAGATTTCGACCTGAATCAATTTCTAGGAAGTTCAAACGTAATTTCCTGTTTTGTACGTCTGATTCAGGCAATGTATCAAACATTTATAAAGAATTAAAATATATTAACGACAAACTTACTTTGTTGTGTAAATCCTCCAATACTTCCCGGTCGACAAGACCCAATTCCTCCCAATTGGGTTCCGTCGGCATACATTCCATCTCGCCATCAGCGCTCCCATTTTTTTCGATTTCAACTGTGTTCCTTTTATCACAGTCACTTATGAACGAACGTTCGCTGTCGACGTTTTTCAACGACTCACAACCATCACTATTATAATTTCTCAACTTGCCCGTTGCACTTAACTTCGATGGATCTTTTTGTACAATTTCATTCTCGTGCACGTTTTCGTTTACGAACGCAGAAATTTGATCTGCGTCGTCGTTCCTCACAGTAGAACCGAAGAAAGCGTCGAGTTTTCGATCACCTTTAAACAATTTCCGTCTTTCTTCTGCATTTTTCCCCGGGTCACTCTCCGTAATTTTATGTTCCTCCGTTTTTATTTGAACCATGTAGTTATTGGCTTTTGCCGAGCCAATTCGGGGTATGTCCTGCTTTTCATTCTTCAATAAGTCTGCATTTTCTAAACTCTTGGATCCATCGTCAACGTTCGAAACGAAAGTATCGATACTTCGACCACTTTGAACTAACTTGATTTCTTCTTTCCGAGCTTCCCTTATCGTTTCGTCAATTTTAATAATTTTCACATTTTTATCGTCCTTCATAGCCTCTTTATTATCCTTTTCCTCTTGTTTCTCGGTTTTCTTTTTCTTAGATTGCTCATCAGTCTTGCTAGCCAGCTGCGGACTACCAGTCCTCGTCAATATACTTTTTTTCGGGCTTAATTCCGCGTTATGAGTGTATATCTCTCTCTTAGGACTATTGGAAACGGATCTGGCCCTTCGAAACTTCCCAGGCTTCTTGTTCGGACTACAAGGCTGAGAAGAAGGCCTTGGTCGGGTGTTAGGCATTTTAGTAGCAGGCGAAACAGGCAACGGGATTCTGGTCTTAGGAGCTGTTTCCAGAGATTCAGTATCATCGCTGTCCGGAGTCCTTAGCTTAACTATTTCACCCCCGAAGTGAACTCTCCTAGGTGTCTTCCTCCTCTCAGGATCATCGGTTTCGTCTTTCACATTGCCTTCACTTTCTTTTTCTTCTCGTTCCTGTTCACTATCTTCTTTCTCCTCGAGGATGGTCATAGTGATTGCCGTCTCTTCGTTAAACTTAATCTCCGTCTCCAAAACCACCCTAGCCGCGGGCATAGTTGCATTGTTCACCTCGTCCTCTTCTTCAACGATGCCGGAAGTATCGCTATCGCTTTCCCATTTATTGTCCGACTCTTTTTTACTAGTTCTTTCCACGCCCTTAGTATCCGAGCTCCTTGTATGAGTTTTACCACTGGATTTCACGTTGTAAATCTTAGACAGGATCTCGATGTTCCTCTTCAGCTTATTGTCATACTCTTCCAGGTATTTTTCGAACTCCTCTACGCCAACAGCATCTCGAATCTTCATCAGCGACTTCAGCACGGCTTCCTGATGGGGTACCTGAGCTAAACGAGAGGCCAGAGCTATGGTCGCGTCTTTGACTAGCTGAGGATTTGGCGATGGGCTATTGGACGATGGAAACAGGAGCGATGGCACACTCAAAATGACACCGGTGGTCACGTTGGTCTGAAAGGAGTCTCGCACTTCCGAACGATTTAAGCCATCTCGAAGAATCTGTAAGAAACACCGTCGATGTACCCGTCTTCAGGCATTAATCGATTGTGTGTAGGTGGGGAGATCGCAAGGTCAGGGATCACTTGCGCATTGCGACCTTGTTTGGCTGTTTGATTAAAATTTTGAAGGTCAATTGATAACAAATCGATGCTCTCCTTCTTGTATCAATACGTATTTTATAATTCTTAAAGAGTCATCAACGTTTAAGATAGTAGTCGCGGAAATTAATTTTCTTACGATCTATTTTAAATGTTAACTACGTGTTTCTGCCACTATTATTTATCGATGGTTAAAATTACAGAAGGCATAGCGTCATGATAAGCGACTAAAAATTTCACTTTTCAATATGTAATGTCTATAGTATCCGAAATTGACATTTTTAATTATAGCAAAGAAACTGCTCTTACGATTTTTACAAAAATATAAAAGATTCAAAAGAATGTTACATGTAAAAACGGCCAGAATCATCGTTCGTAAGTGAAAACACTGCAAAAATTCTAAATTTATAGAAATTAAATGAAATAGAGCAAGCGCTTACAAGAGGAGAAACGTAAAAGGCCGGTTCAAGCTATATCCTATTTAAAGATTTCTTCCTACTCTCATTAAGAAGCTCTCATTATCTGTGTCAGTTTATCTACACATAGCGAACTTTTAAATGCCATTGTAGCACGACTACTACCTTAAAACAAAAAAATGTCTGTAACGTGTGGCGGAAGGAAAGGTATAACAACTATCATAAAACAGCGCGATTGTTGTCCCTCACACGTTTAACAAAAGAGATCGTGATGACATTTAGTAAATCCAATAATGTACAGTATCGGGTTTATCCCGATGTATTTTCCAGCTTTCCTGTGATATAGTCGGTGGAAGAAATATGGTAAGGTCGTAAAATTCGGCCTATCATAAAAATTACTTCAGCTTAGCTACCGAAACAATCATTTCAGGTAGGACTTAGTTCTCAAAACAGCTCAGCTAACCGCAACAGGTAATGGTTGCTAATTATGACAAATTTTATGATAGGCGAATTTTACGATCTCGCTAAAGTACCGCCACCAACTTTACCACTAGAAAACTGGAAAATGCATGGATACGTTACTCAATTTCAATTACAATTTCAATTTCAAAGTTCTTATATCTAATAATTACAAAGGCGTGTAGGCCTTACCTATATCACTAAACGTTACTCGGTTTACAGCGCGTCGTTACGAGCTCAGGTGTAAGGGACAGTAACCCCGCTGTTTTTATGATCGCTGTTATATCTTTCGCTCGACTATGATACATAGCCAATGCTTGAGAGGAATTGAGGGAAATAAATTTTACATAGTGAAAAATGTCTTACGTCTTTTATGATGTTTTCTCTATTGCGGCTATGAATGAGAAGCACTCGGAAAGCGTCTAAGACACCCTTCCGAACAGCAGGTGCAGGATGGCCCAAATTATTTACCAGTTCTGATATCACTGGTTGCATGATTTTGTCAATGGTGTCAGCATTCAAAGTCGGTAACACGTCTATCAGCACACGCAGAGCGTGCTGACGCACTTCCCATTCCGGATCGCGCAATCTTTCAGATATCTCCAAGAATGTTAACCGACTATCCACCTCGCTCGGAAATTTCCGAGTGCGCACCTGCGCAAGTACAAAATAAAAATTGTTCGATAAACTGTTTATAAATCTAATCCTTCCTCAAAAATTTGCAATCTTCTTTAGTTTGTCTTTTACAATTTATACATATAATGAAAATTAATTCGAATGTCATTACGTGATCAAAGTATGAATCAATAGCAGATACAATTGAAAAATACAGTTTATTGGAAAGTAGGAAAATGAGAGATTTTAGTGCGACGAGTGCAACGTTAAACGGTAATGGCGTTAATCGATCAGCATAATTGTACGGACCACATGTTCCCAGAGGGGAGTGAGTTGTATAGGTTGCCCATTCGCTGAGGTCAGTGTCATCTTTCTAGAGGATCCCTGACGATGACCTTTCAACACGGGGCTTTCCGATGTCGGGTAGAGGTCAAAAGGCGCGGATCGTAGAGATAGCGGTAAAGAATCGTTATGGGGCTGCAGAGGCCCCGAATTTGTCGATCCTGTCATAGATGTGGTGAACCCCAAGCACTCGGACATAACAACCGTTACGTCTCGTCCCGCGGGAACCACGTGTCCTTCATCGTCTTCCACGAGGATCGTTTCTTCAGTTCTGGATCGTTCATCGAGTCACGCGAATGGCAGTCCTGATTGACAGATTCGTTAGATATTTACCGTCAGTCAACACCAGTAAGGTTCAAGTGAGGAGAAGCGAAGTTTAAAATTGACAAACAAGTAATCGAAGTACGAAAACGATTCTGGTTTGGTTGGCGATACCGACGATTGGATGATAGATTTTCTAAAGTGAAAACTTTTAGGAAAAATTATATTTATAGAAAAGTAAGATTTATAAAATTGTTTAATGTGTCGTACAGAATTTTTCATTTCTAATATTTCAATATATAATTTTAATACTTTTTAATGGGATTGTATCTAACTTGCAGTTGTCAAATCCTACAATTCTTCGTTTTTATTAGTTTTTACTGTGCATCCTGAATAACATCCTCGAAATTGATATTATTTCAATGTAAAACATGTATTAACGAAATTCTGTCATTGTT